TGCTCTCACCCAGTCAGCTGTGGTGAACTCTGCTCCACAGCCCCTTGTAGCTGCACTTCCCTGACGCTGTTCATGAGCAAAAAAGCTATGCTTTTTGAAACCAGTGTATGAGAGAGATGAGTTTCAGGCATGTTTGTCTTGTAATTAGCTCTTGTGAATAAAATTTTGAAGAAGTAGATCTGGCACCTATCTGTCAGAGAAGTTAGAAAACTTGCTTGTCTGGTGGGGAAGAGGAAGAACCTCTGTTGGCAATATTGAGTTCCTTCCACCCTGTAAACCTCTACAGAGTTGGCAGAAGCATGGTGGGGGGTGAGAAAAGTTCATTTTTTAAATTCTTCCTGACATAGTCTACATGTGTTCTTCTATCCTCCGCCTCTACTCTTCCTTTGTCTTGCTAACTTTTTCCCTCGTCGCAAAATATTTACGTGTGGGAAATGGTGGGATAATACAGCATAGTCTAGCTAATGGTAATTTACTACAAATGTGTCATATATTTCTAATTTGGGGCTTTTCCATGTTCTGTAGAGATTGGTCACAGAAGAATTAAGTGCTCAAAGCATTTCCTCCATCTGTAAATATATAGTGAACCTACGCTATGTCATATTTCCTAGGACTGCATGGTTATAAAGGAAAGGCTCACTTAAAACACTCTTGATTCATCCAGGGCAGCCCTTGTTTCTAAGTGGCAGCTGTGTTTAACTTTTTTCGGAATATAATAAATACTTATTGAGCCATTCTTTTTGCTTTTTTGTAAATTTTGTGTTGCAGCAGTTTGGATTTAGTGTCGCTGTAATCTCACATTGTAATGTAATAGCAGTAAAATTATTCCTATACAAGTCTAGAGAGAATCTGTGCTAATACCATTAAACTGTGCTTGCCGAATCAAAACAAATGCGGCGTTAGCATGTGGAAACTGTGTTTATGTGATTATAATGTTTCAGCAATATGAGATTACTGTAGGAAGCAACTAATCCAAACCTAGAGAGACTTCCCATTACAAGACCATTAAAATGACACAATGAATGAAGCGCAAGTTTCAGATGGGAAAAGCGGAAACACAAATCTTGTCATCAGTATTCAGGCAAAACATCTATTGAACTCGGTGGAGTTTTTACCAGACCCAGGAATACAGTACCATGACCTTTTTAGCAGCAAGTCTCTTTTCTCTTAACAATACCTCTAGGAAAAATATTTACTTCACCAATATTTAATAGTTGGCTGATGGTGAGACTTGTATTTTATGCACCACATGATTGGTGATTGTAAAGATTTGTCCAGAGGTTATTCCAGAAATGTTAAGGTATTGTTTCAAGGCTGTTGTGAAATAATACAAGTTTTGGCTATATCTTAAAGCAATTTTCATTATCTTTTTATCTGAATATGTACTTTTCAGAAAATACCATGTATTTCTCTATTTATGCAGCACGTGTATCAGAGAAGCCTTGTTCTATGCAGGAGCACCTTGGTGAAACCACAGCATAAATTAGTGATTTGCAAAACCAAAATACCTTTTATTGCCAGATAAGAGCTAACCTGTTTATCTTTTGTCATAGGAATCGGTGCCTTTCCTCCTGCCCTCAGGCTGGGTTAAGTTTCAGTGAATATCATTTGCACATTTTATGTAGGACCATCTAAAATATAGTTGCCTTGTCCAGGATTCTGCTTGGCTCCCTCTGTAGTCCATGGAAAGAGGCCAATATTACAGAAAGTGACTTGTCTTGTTCTATTACAAACATGCAAAATAGACTGGGTGAGTTGCCTATGGATATGTCTTTCCACCTCCACTATGAAAATGGTCTAGACAATTATTCAGTAGAAGACATACATCGTTTTAGGTGGCTAAATGAGGTGATATGAATTCAGTCCTTGGTGTATGAAAGAAGAAACTTTCAGAAGAAAGTTCTGTGTAAAACATGGCATGCAAGTCATTAGTAAAGCACACGAACATTGATTTCTGTAGTAAGAACTACATGCTTAAATTAAGCAGCAGTCTTTATTCCCTTTAAAAGCTGTTTGCACCTAAAATCTGTTTTAAAAACACTAATTAAATTCTGGTTCTGTCAAGTGAATCTTATTAGGAGGAATGTATCATTAGAGCATAATCAGGGCGTGCTGTCTGTGTAAATGACAGTAGGGAAGATATCAGGACAGTGGTTTTAAAAATAGTTCCAGTCACAGGTTGTTGGCTGTCTTTATTTTTCATATTTTTTTTATTAAAAGTGGTGGCTTTCTAAAACTGTGTTAGTAAGCAGGCACAGACATTAATATTCATCATATTTTTCATGCAGATAAAATTAGGTCTACTTTAAATGCTGTTTGTGTCAGTTTCTGTTTTTGTGATGCTTCTTGTATTTATAAAAATCCTTGACCTCAGTCAAAAGGTTCAATAGTAGGCATTGGTTCTGTAAGCTCTGTATGTGTGCTATAATCTGAAATCTAGAGTCTAAAAATCAACAGATTGGTATCTGCTACAAGAGAAACCTGGCACTGGAACTGGTAATTTTAAATGTTTCCTGCTGCTATAAATCAGAAGACGGCAGCCTCAGGCTGTAAGTACATCTCACACACGCAGCCATAGGTCTTCGCAGTGGTCAGGCCAGATTAATTGAGGGTAATTGAAATTAACTGTGTCAAAAAGGAATTAGCGGGAACAAATGTTGAAAGTCAACTTTTTATCAAAGTAGTAATCTGAAAGTGAGCAAAAATTCACATTCAATTAGAGTGGCCTTTTTGAGTAACTGCGCTACTAAATACTAAAAAACAGAAGTGGAAACTTGTTAAAGAAACAGACTGTAATTGCTTTGCGTCAAATTTTACCAAAAGAACTTCAATATTTGTATATTTAATTATATAACAAAATATTTATGTATGTTTGTTTTCCTAACTTAATAAATGGATTTGAAAATTGTCAGTGAGCACGAGGAAAGAAAAGTGTGTCTCTAACGCAAAGAGTAGTTATCACTCTTTATGCTGTCAGGATTTTACTGAATACCAGAGTGTAGATATTTAACAAAAAAATAAAAAGGGGGGAAAAAAGCGCAAAGGTAATGCAATTATCTTCAAATTGTCTTAGTCTCTTTGCTGTGCATATAAGAATGACTCAGATCATTGAACTTTCTCCAAAATAGTGGGTTGCTCTACATAGCACCAGCTTTGTTCAAGGATAGAATTAATGACTGGGTTGGACAACTTAATTGAATTGCAGCTAGCAGCAGTTTCTGACTAAGACAGGTATTTTGCTTTTAATTATTTGCTCAAGAATAATATTTTCTGAAGTCAGGCACATCTTAATTTATTTGGCAAAAAATAAATCATTATATTAATCAGCCAACAGTCTGTTGTATGAGAGTAATTATTCTTCTGCCTTCTCAAACAAGTCAACACACTAGCCTAGAAATTAAATTCATAAAAGAACAGTTCTTCCTAAGTCTGCTTTTACACAAGACGAGCAAACATAGTTAGTCAGTCCTTTCTCTTTCTTACGGATGGCCAAGTTTTCATAGAAAAATAACTGCCTACAGACTTTGCTAGGCAGGTGATACCTGCCGTTTGCAGGGGCTGGGTCCCTTTCGAACATTGGTACTCTGACAATGACTGCTTCTTGTGAGATGAAAGTATCCCCAAAGAGACCTCCACCTTCTTGTGTCCTTTGATATGTAGAGTTCAGTGCCCTTCAGATTTCAGTTTTTCTGTCATCCTGGTGGATTAACTTCAGCAGTTAAAAGGAAAGCGTCCTCTGAGGGCTTCACCAGTAACAAACCCGTGTTTATGATATTATTCACTAAAAGGAAGACAGAAATGGGAAAGACCTCTCTCTTTAATCAATAATGCATGCTCTAGTTAGTCCTGTCCTCTGGACATGATTAAACATGTATTTTGTTTCATAACTGATGATTTTGGTTGACTAGGGATTATAACTATATATCCTCCAGCCTTTGCAACTAGCATCAGGAAGATCTAACATGAACTGGGTAGTCAGCTCTGTTTAATGTTAATATGGCACATAAATGAAAACGACTACCCTTACCCCCAAAAGAAAAAAATCCCCCCAAAATCCCAATGGGGAGAGCTGCAGCTAATTCTAACCTGTGGTGAGTCAGGCTAGACTTGCACAGGGCAGATGCCTTTGGCATGAATCAACTGCAGACAGTAGCCTCAACCTATATCTTTGTCATCGCTAACTTGAAGTTTTGAGAAGTGATGTTGTTTTGTTCATGTTAAAGAAAAAAGTCTCTTAAAGGCTGAGCTGCATAAATTAGGTGTTAGGTTAAGGTCTGTTCTTAACTGGTAAAATATTTGGCCAATGAAGCTGACGAGAAAAGCACTTTGGCTTCTGCCCCACTGGTTGGGAGCAAAGCTGTAGCTTTAGCAGCTGTTGTTGACTTTGGAGGAGTTGTGCTGGGCTGTTCCAGACCTCCACAGGGCAGCTGGCAGGACAACCTCAGCCTCTGTTGAAGTCTGAGGAGCAGATGATCACCCTCATCCTGGTGCTCCTCACCCAGAGAGGCAGACGAGGTCCCCAAACATGGACAGCTTCCTTAGTGCGCGAGGGGGATAGTGATTCTTGGAGGACACAGATAAATAAAATGAACATACCAGTAAGGAATATTCAGCCTTGGTGCCAAGTATGTTCATCTGGTGGCTCAAGCTGACAAAATTTGACAGCTGCTGAAGAGCAGAGAATCCAAAATGAACATACAGTGGTTGTTATTAAATAGGAAACATTTATCTTAATATGCTATTGACTATAGCACAGTAAATGATGATGATTTCCCTGTACCGGAATGTGGTATTTTCACATCGATGGGGTACTGATACAAGCACAGTTGAGCAAAATAAATGCTTTGTTTTTCATATTGACCACTCTACTGGAAACAGTGTTTGAAAACTTTCCAGCGAACACACACAGCTTGTAGGTACGTGCATGAGAGAGAGGAGGGAGTTCAGAAATGTTTGCCCCATCTGAAATGTTTTTGTTTCCATTTCTTCTTCCTTTGCAGACTCTTTTAATCTGATTTTTTTTTTTTCCTTTTGCTGAAGAAAAATGTCTTCCCTGGGAGGGAAAGCACAGACTGTCTTGGGCCCTGTGGATCCAGACTGCCTTGGCTATACGTTGACTCACGAACACTTGACTATGAACTACAGCAGCTGCTTTTGTCCACCGTCTCCAGGCCAAGAGCCTCTGTCTGATGGGCCCATTGAGATGAAGAACTTGTTCTGGATTAAGCAAAATCCCTACAGCCATAAAGAAAACCTTCTGTTATGTCAGGAAACAGATGCTGTGAAGGAGGAGCTGTTGCATTTTAAAGCAGCAGGTGGTGGGACGATCGTGGAAAACACAACCACAGGAATTGGTCGGGATATGAATACTTTGAAGAAACTTGCTGAAGAAACTGGCGTCCATATTATTGCTGGGGCTGGGTTTTATGTGGATTCCACTCATTCTTCTCAAACACAGGCCATGACAGTGGAGCAGGTAAGAGTTAACCATGGTTTAGGAGTCTCTCTCCTATGAATTACCCCTGGGTGAGTCAAAGTTGGCGAGAAGTTCTGGCAAAATAGATGAAATCTGGAAGTTCTTAACGTGAAAAACTTGCAACAGCATTACTGCTTGTGTGTTATAGCTGGACCAACCCTACTTGTGTGTGCTGGGATTATCTGTCAGCATTTCCAATTCTTGAGCTCTATTTTCTCTCAGGGATTTGTTATAATGCAACAGTAAAGGGAAAATAAAGTACTTCATGTGTGGGCATTTGGTTCCACACCAATTATCCTCTTCTTTTTACAATTTTTAAGAAAGGAATATATCCCTTCTGCCTCTTTTGTCTCTCTTTCTGGCTAATTGCTTCACAATGAGATTACCCAGAATTCTTTTAAAAAGCATAAATAATTGCGATATTTGCAGGACAGTTGTAACTCATTACTCTGCTCAGGCTGGCTGTTATATCTCTCTTCTCTACCATTTGTCCAGAGTTTTTAGGGCAGAGTCTACATCGAATTGTTTGTACTGTGCCCAAGACAATGTGTTAATAATGACCAAGGTCCCCAGATATTCCTATAATAATAAATACTCATTCATCTTTTTTTAAGAAAATGTGATGATAGGGAGAAGAGGGAAGGGAACTCTCCAAGGGAGAGGGCTGTAAATGCGGATGAACAGAGCTGAGAAAATTTTTTTAAAAATCTGTCACGGTTTACAAATGAGTCAAATTCATTTTAAAAGTCAATGGTCAAAACTTGAGCAAATGTCAGGTAACACAGTGCTGCCAACCACACTGGACCCAAGCTGTCCCGAGCTGTACAGAACAGTGCTAGTTTTCCTAAATATTCTTGCTTTGCTTAAAATTTGATACAAATAGATTTCTTGGGGCAAAGGTTTCCCTTCTGTATTTGGTGGACTGCCGGACACCCGCTGATGCCCTGTAGCAGCAGATAATAAATACTTAATCCAGTCTAGAAGGCAATTGCTTACTTAGAAAGGGTTGTGCGGTGCCTGATCCGTGATAACTGGTGGTTCCTCATTTGCCGGTGAATTTGATGTGATGATTTGTTTTCTGATTAGGCAAAGACAATTTGAGTATTTTGTTGCCAGCCTTAGCAGAGAGCCGAGTGACAGAAAGACGTTGCTGCAGGAGAGATGTTCTTCAGGAGAGGAGTGAATTCTGTATCATAGGGTAAAGTGCCAGGCAGAAGCCTACTGTAAATTGTGGTTAACTTGGACTGACTTTTGCATGTAGATTGAGTATTTACCAACATGTTGTATAAGTTATTGAGGACACAAAGTGTAGACTTGTTACAGATGTATTTGAAAATTGCTGGGTTTTTTTTCAGTTTTGTAGATTTGCTTGCAAACCTTCCTTCTCCCTTTGTTCGCTTTAGTCTTCCTTAAAATCATGATTTCCCTAACCTTCAGGACCAAACAGGTAAGAAGGTCATCATCAATGCCATTTTGTGCTCTGAATTCTGAATGTATTCTTTAAGATATATGGCCTATTCTGGAAAAGAAAAACTAAAGCTGTTATAACAAACTGCTTTTATTAAGAAATTCTGATGTCTTTTCTGCTTAGGAATATTTTAAAAGCAAGCTAATTTTGATCCTGTAAGTTTGTCAGCAGAGCTTTGTTCTTGTAGTTCTGAAGTCATTGGAGCCCCTGACATTTTATGTCGGTATTCCCACAAGCAGGATTTGCCTTAAACTTGTCTCTTCAGGATCTTTGCCAGAGTTTCTCCCTTCCCTATCTGAGTGACAAGGTTTCCTTATTCTCTGAGCCCTCGTTGTGCAAGAAATTACATTGAATTGTTATGGAACCCAATTCAGGATTGCGAGACACAGGTTTCATGCTGAGCTAACTTTGGGGTTTTTAAAGAAAAAGTAGTCTCAGCCTAAATCTGTTAAAATTTTATGTAGACCAGCTTTCCCAGCAAAGCCGGGCAACTGTGTGAGTAGATACTGTTAAATTGATTTGCTTTGTGTTTATTTTGGTGTTAGTGAATGGCTAGCATAACGGTAGTTGACAGAAACCAGATTTTAACTGCAGTGTTTTCACATACCCAACTGTTAATTAAATAAGTTCAGAAAGACCTCAGGAGTATAACTAGCACAGTGTCCATAGGCCAAATTTGATGCTATTTAACACAAATAGTATTAATAACAAAAAAAATCTCATTGTCCTGTCCTCTAGCTTACAGGCATTATTGTTGATGAGATACTCAATGGAGCGGATGGGACTAACATCAAGTGTGGTGTGGTGGGAGAAATAGGTTGCTCCTGGCCTTTGACTCAAACTGAACACAGAGTGCTTCAGGCAACAGCGCAGGCGCAGTCCCAGCTCGGGTGCCCCATTATCATCCATCCTGGCAGGAACAGCGATGCACCTTTCCAGATTATCCGCATTCTGCAGGAAGCTGGGGCTGATGCTTCAAAGACAGTCATGTCTCACCTCGACAGGTAAGCAGACTGTTCCGTTGACCTTCTGGCAGTGTTGCCACAGCCCGCTGGGGTTTGGGGGAACTACTCTGCAAATAGCTAGGTTTCTGTTGCACACTGGGATCACGACATGAAGAATTATCTTCAAGTTTACTGACTTAAAAATAGGAAACTGCTTATCTAGAGCTTGATCAGCTTCCAGCACTTCAGTCAGGATCAGCTTTTAGGTTCACACAGGTAAAAGAGTTTTAGGGCCTTTAAACGTTCTCTTCGAAGGTCTGGGGGTGACATTAGGAATAACTGTAGCCACATTTTTAAAAAATGGGGATTCCATTAATTCATATTCCTGCACAAATCACTGCGTTTACAAAGCATTGGACATTGAGCAACTCTCACCAAATTGGGTGGGAAGCTGCTGGGCTGCCAGCATTTTTGCAAACTGGGCCCCTCTTAAGGGCCTGACCATAATCTCTCAGATACTAATGGAGAACTCCTTTATTTGTCTGGATTCTGGATCAAAGCAGAAGACAGATCTTTTCAGTTCTGCTACCAGACAGAAGAAATATTGCTTAAAAAGAAAATAGTTGGGTTTTGGATGGTTCTTAGCGTAGACCAGAGAGCTAACTTTTCGTTTCCTTGAGAGCAAAAACCAAGAGCTCCACATCAGACATGAAGAGGAATTTTCTCTCTTCTATTTAGAAGCACAGCCTCTATTACCAAATCAGTTTTGTGTGACCTTGTGCTGCTCATGGTGAGCTGGAAAATGTCCAAGCATTGATTAGTTTGGCCAGTTGCTGAATAATAGAGACTGTTTTTGTCATATGATTCTCAGCAATCGGATTGTTTGCCCTCAATGTGAGTGTAATACAGGCAAGAGCACAGTGCTACAAACTTTTAATGGTTATAGGCTCTAAGAGCTTGCAAATGAAGCTACAGGTGTTTTGTATTCACACAGAGCTCAATGTTTTACTTGGGGATTTTAAGAGCACAAAATTCAGTGCCACAAAATTTTACTTATATTTGATTATATATAAATGATATGGGCTTTCTTTATGTATTTATTTGCATTCCATTGTATCTATAGCTATATTTTCTCTCATTTTTAAAGAAACACTGATTACTTAAATCTTTGTATGAAAGAAGACTGAGCAAGCTGCAGATGTCAGTACTTACATAGCCATTTTGATACAACATAAACATCCAATTACATTTTTTTCCCTTTATACGCTGTTGTAAATCGTTGAATTAAGTGATTTATTGGTGGAAGATAAGCAATGTAAGTAGGAAAACAGTCAAGACAGAGGTGGAGTTTCACTAACAGCCACTGATGCACAATATGACATTTCCTTGTACTCCTTCTATCATTACTTTCACACATTTGGGTTGGCACTTGCTATAACATAGACTCTAAACGACTTTGAAGTTTGGCTTTGCAATGTGCATTTAACATTTTAAGTCTCCTCTAGTGAGAAGAATCCACGTGGGAGCATCCCAGTCCCTTAAATGTGAGATAAATTGGTACATAGTTCCATATTTCCTGCCTGCTTTAGGCATAGACAGAATGGTAGTTTTCAGGTGGATTTACTGTCAAATGATAAAATGAAAATGCTGGCTACCATGTGCTGCAATTTAGCACCTTAGAACAAAAGGTAGCAAGTGTCTGTAGTGAAACTGGTGTAGATAAAGACTGGGAGGCAAAAGCTATCGAATCTTGTCTTTGGCCATTTATTAGGGTTTAAGCTTATAAAGGTATCTTGATAGAGATCAACGCTGATTCATTTGAGTAGCTTTTGTTAGAAGGCTCACACGAACTGTTCTGAGTGCCTGTTTGATGATGGTTTGGTGTACGTCCCTGCAGTGATTTATGGATGAGGACCAAACTATAGGATGCCTCTCTGTGTCCCATCTCTTTTTCCATGCGTTGAGGGCTGCTCAGGGACACGGCTTGCCCAGACACCTAATCCCAGCACAGAGATTAGCAATTCAAGCAGGGAACTGCTGCTGCTGCTATATTTGTGTGGCTTACAAGGTGTCCCAATGGCTGATGAACTTAAGCTCTCCTGCTCTTCGTTGGGACAGAGCACCCAAAGGCACAACCCTAACAATAGTTTTAAAAATAAATTCTTCTGGCTGTGATTTTGAAATAGATCATTGGGTGGTTTTTGCCACCTGCACAGGATTGGATACTCTTGGCTACCATCTCCCTGTGAGCTGAGCAGGGCCGGATCTAAAATAACCCGTTCTCTTGCTCTGCACTTTGAAAACTCATTTGGTGATAAATGTTCAATCTCTGTAAACTGTAACATTTATTTTAAAATAATGTTTTTTATTAATTACAGTTGGCAAGTCTTAGGCTCCTGCTGATGGCAGGCTTGTTTGAACAAGGGTTTTCTCTCTCTCAACCCATCTGTTCCTCCTACTTCATTCTGTTGTTAAGTCATAATATTGAAATTGTGACATCAGTCATTTCCATGGCAACAGACTATGATGTAACTGTATAGGGTAAAATGACTTTGTGACATCAATATCTGCAACTACTGCCCTTTTGGTTAACTGTGCTGTTCTTGTGGAAAATTGTTTTTTCCTTAGATGAAAAAAATTGTGTTGTGGTTATAAAGATAAAATTGTAATGTATCATTTGAGTGTTGTTGTTTTCCTTTAGATAGCTTATACTCTTGGTAAAAGCGTTTAAAAAATATATTCTAAAGAGCTCTTATTTCAGTTGCCATTCTTTTCCAAATGAGTGATGCGTTTTAGTAGCTTTGTTCCTTCACTTTTGAAATCTTCTGCAAAACCCACGTCCCAAGTACTCACAGTGCCATTATATCTTGGTGAGAGCATTTCCTTAAGGCGTTCTGGCCAGATCCCAGTGCAAACAATGATATATTGCTGTTCTAATGACAATCTAGAAACATCACTGTACAGAATAGAAACTAAAGACAAAGTTGTGTATTACCGGTGTGTGATGGATGAAACAAGCCCTGGATGTAGCTGTCTCCTGTAACTCTTTTGGGAAAGTAAATCTGTCTTGTGTAAGTAATCCATTGTCTTTTTTTAAAATGTCACTATGAATTAACCTCCTCCTTAAATGTCCTTCCTTGGTAGGTTGTCTGTTGAGAGGGTTAGTGGTATCAAAAGTAAGTAACTTTCCTGTTTCCATTTAAAGATTATCATAAATGTTTTCATTATTTCATGGGGGAAGAGTTGGGTTTGTTTTGGGCTTTTTTTAATGCATGAAGTCACAGATGAATGTGAAAAAGACTATGACGCTGTGTATTAGCTTAAGGTGCATGTGTCAAACAGGAGTCCTGTTTTCTGAAAGGGTGAATTAAATCTTAGATTATTGGGTTTGTTACTTGCAAATAGGAAGTCGCAAAATACCTGTCCTCGTACCATGAGGGTTTTTTTCCTTCCTGTTACAATGCTGACTTTGTGTTATATGTGTTCTGCAGGACTATATTTGATACAAAGAAACTTCTGGAATTTGCTAAACTGGGATGCTATTTAGAGTATGATCTATTTGGTACAGAATTTCTTCATTACCAGTTCCATCCTGATATTGACATGCCGAGCGACAATGAAAGAATTGCGAGGTATCTGCTCCCATGCTGTTTGAGCTATGGAATTACGATCAACAAGTGAATATTAGTGGTATTTGTTTTAAGGGCATCACAGAGTAATTCTGCTTGCCGTTCAAAATTGTCTTTTTTCATACTAAAATAATGACAATTTTTTTTCTGCTGCTGTCACGTTTTTAGGGCAGAATGTATGATTTCTTTTATCTGCAAAGGAAGATGTAGAATCATAGTGTAGAAAGTTACTTGAGAAAAAGATCAAGAGATTTTTTTAACTTCATTCTCTGTCCTAATTCCATGCTGATTTGGTTGAATTTGATCATTTACTGCATTTATATAGACTGTAAAAAAGAAAAGGCTGGAGATACTGGATTTATGTTAGGGTTTCGCTTTTGTTTGAAGCGTACTACTGGAAACCTAGTGCTGCTACTAAGCATCATCTGAGCCTGTTACATCTCCTCACGAATGTGCTAACCGAGCAAAACTCATTGATTATCCTGGGTGGATTTGATCCTGTGCTTCCATCCTGAAAACCAAACTTTTTTCTTCCAAGCACTTTATCACCTCTCCTCCCTGTCTCTTTTTGCCCTTTCTCTTTTTTGAAGGATGAGATACCTGTCTCCTCAGAGCTGCCATGCTCCTCACACTCACAATGTGAAAATATTGGCAGGATGCCTCTTCCCTGCTTCTCATCATCTCACATGCAGTCTTAGCTCAGCTGCACAGCAGATCTGTTGTGCTGTGCTAAACCAAGGTGTTGCCAAGGAGGTGCGTTCCTTGCAGAAACTGAGACAAGTAGCATCAGCTGGGGATGCGCTTCTCTCTCCTTCTACTCTGTCTGGAGGTGTGATCCTCCTCTGGTGTTTGTCCATAGTGTTTGTGTGCAGTGAAGTGGCAGGCTTCTGAGGGCTGGGGTGCCAT